TAACTTAACCGGATCGGCTGAAAAATCATTCGGCAAATTTTTACAGGTGTCCCAGGAATTATGATAATAGCTGTAATCCAAAACACTCATTCAATGAAGGTTTTACCACAAAATCCCGAAAGACATATTTCCGAAAGGACCTAATCCCGACAAAGTTAGCCGGCATAAGTTATAATGCTGGCCAATTTAGTCGGTATTATGTCCTTTCGGGAAAATGGCTTTCGGGATTTTATGGTAAAACCGTAAAAAATTATCGTTATTAACTGCAAAAAAAGAGTACATAATTTATCGAACGTCGCCAAATGGTTAAAAGAAATAAATTATTATAATGTCGAAATTCAAGTTTATTTGTATTATTCTATATATTATATGTTTGTAAATTGCATTAAATATTGCTTTGAAAAATAAAATCTTAGTAAAAAGAAAAAAAAATAAAAGTAAAATTTCGAAGACATTTTCCGGACCATCATCCGAGCCCAACCCGGTACACATTTTCTGGGTGCAACGGAATTGAGGTCATAAATGAAATTTTAGCAAAATGGTATTCTGGCAAGACTTACAATTCTGGAAATTGTTTTCTTCAATTGGAGTCGAAAACAAATTTAAAGCATCGAATAGATCCATTAACTTAATAGTTTATTTCAAATATCTTTATTAATAAATGATCTTATAAGTTAACACGAATAAAATGAAAGACATTATTTTAAAAATAATTATAAAACTTGCTATTTTAATAATTAATAATAAAAATTAGAAAATAACCAATTTCAAGTCTATTTGTTGAATTGTTAGCAAGCCCTAATTTATAATAAATGTGTTTAAATTAAATTTTTTTTTTAAAAAAAATTTAAATAAATAATAAACAATATTTTCAAAAAAATCAGAATTTATCGGAACTTACAAAGCCCCGCAGTTAGCGCACGACACACGGTAACCATAATCACAAGTTTTGCCAGTAGGGCTACATTCATAGACGTGTGTAGGTTTACAACCTGAATAAAATTAAAAGTTTGAAGATGACAAAAAGCTAGCACACTACAAATACAACTTAAATTCATTATTTACTAATTTTACCAATTTGACCAATTTGACCACCACAATATTGCCCTTGATGCAAGCCAACACGGCAATGGCATTTTGTATTGTAGTTGCATATTGCTGCAACTATAGAAATAAAGGTTAATAACAAAATAATGAAATAAAGTCTTTGTATCATTTTTAAGAAGACAGAATAGTTATTTTATTGCCAACGAAATGCGTACGTACGTATTTTATATAAAAACATGCAAATACAGTATATTAAATTAAATTTCACGTTTAAATGTACAGTACTTTACAGAAAACCTTATTTTTTTTTTAATGTATTTAAGATTTAATTAAGATGATCTTAATATTTATAAAATAATTGTGAGAGACCAACATGAGGTTGGTTCCAACGTGAGGTCAATTAGTATTTTTTATGATTACTAATCATTGGCGGACTTTAAATACTAATTGACCTCATGTTGGTCTCACACAATAATTATAAAATGATTAAATAATAATTATAAATTTATTAATTAAGAATTATAAGATTATTAATTATTAAATAATAATGGTAAAATTGTAAAAATATTTATAAAATTATTTAATAATATTTATATAATAATTAAATATTAATTATAAGATAAATAATTTTACTTTATAAAAATCTTATTTTTTTTTTAAATATTTAAGATTTAATTAAGATAATCTTAATAATATTTATAAAATAATTAAATAATAATTAAAAAATTATTAAATAATAGTTATAAAATCAGATATCATATTGTGCATTTATAGTGCTGTTGGTGTTAATATATTTTTAGAGTTAGAGTGCAATTTTAGAGATTTTTTTTTTATATAATATACTGTATTAAATTTAAGGTTTCAATTTTAATTTTTGTAAAGCTTTTGAAGATTTTAGCATTTTTCTTAGAATATTCAATTCTGTTTATTTAGTATGTTTTTGAGAAATAAAAATCTATAATGTTAAATATCTATAGTAAACCTATTATAAAATTATTAAATAATAATTATAGAAACTTGTTATTGCCACCCTTCACTTTTGTTAATATTACTCTCTACTAGTCTCTAATTTAAAATCTAAAGTTATATAATTCTGATTAAGAATAAAAATTATATAATTTTGACAAAAATATATTTTTTGAATAGTAATTTAAGCTGGCAATAGTAGCCATGGCTAAGCTAGCTTATCTAGTTAAGCTATCCAATATAATATAATAGTTGGTTAATATAGCTAAAGATTATATAATTTAATATATATAGTCAAACCTCTCTATAATCACATACTTGGAATACAAAAATAAATAATTGTAGAAAAGTGTAATAGTTATAAAGATCAAATTTATTATATTTAATAATAGTTTGTTTTTAAAAAAATATACTTATAAAGAAAATATACTTATATAGAAGGTGACTATAGAGAGGTTAGACTGTAGTAAAATTCTAAAAAAACCAAAATCTTATAGCTTAATACAAAATTTTGCTTATAAAACTACTATAAAAAAAAATTTCTTGCAAAATTTTAACAGTCATAACAAAATATATTATATAAAATAATAGGAAATACTGTATAATAGTGTAGATAGATAATATAATATATTAAAAATAATTTAAAAAAACAAAGTTTTTCACAAGTAAATCAAATTTCATCTACTAATAAGATTATTTGAAATATTATTTTTTAAATATTTTCAAATCTTGATATAATTAATTAGTTTTTTGTTAATTAACTTTTATATTATTTATCTTGGACAAAGAATTTAATTCTTGTATCAAAATATATAATACAATATTTAATTAATAAAAGTTAACCAAATTATATCAAAATTTAAAGATATTTAAAAAATAACATTTCTAATAACTTTATTTAGAAAATAAAATCTAATTTGCTTAATAAAAAATTATATTTTACATTGTGCTAAAAAAATTTATATTTATTATATATTATAAGTTAAAAAATATTGATATACTATATTATATAATATAGTAATAGCAGTTATATAATATATTATATAGATTATATATATATAATTTTAATATAGTATTAAACAATTAGTACATCTAAATTTTATATATAAAATTTAAAAAAAATTTGCTTTTAGATTAATTTAATAATAAAGAATATATTAACTTGATTTTTAGATATTACAGTTAAACCTCTTTAAATACATAGTTTTGGGTAGCCAAAAAATATTGTATTTAGAGAGATATTGTATTTAAAGAGGTAAAAATCTATAAGTGTTATATTCAAACAAGGCTATGCATTTAGAGAGACTATGTATTTAGAGAATATGTATTTAGGAAGGTCTGACTGTATTTGTAATTTTTTTAATATTAAAAAGTTCTTTATATAAAATAAAAGGTAGGGTGTAATTATTTTTAAATTTATATTAAATAAATTGTAGATCAATATTATATAACCAAGGGTGTGGCGACTTAGTGAAGTAGTAGAGTTGTCGCACCTCCAGATAGCAGGTCTAGAGTTCAAATGCCAAGAATAATGCTTTTGAAAAATAGCCCTGTGATATAGTTAATAGCTATCACCATCAGTTAGATTCTAATCTGTAATCTTGGTCACATCATCTAGAATAAAAACTTCAGCGCAATAAATCTAAGGAACTAGAAAACTGAAAACCCATTTGGCAAGTTCTGAGTTGGGAGGTAGCATGACTTTTGATGGTGCTACAGGAAGACCAAATTCAGAACCAGAAACTAAAATCAGAGAAACAAGCGACTAGGTCTTTAGTGGGGAGACACACTAGCAGAACCGCCTAGTTACCAATCTGGAGGAAAAGGATATACACTCTGAAAGCATATATCAAAAGAGGAAAACCGTAAGGCACATAAAGCCTGGGCAGACCAACCCTTCTGGATTGCTAGCTGGAAGTAAGAGAGAGATCAGTAAAAAATCTGAAAAAGAAGAAAAGTCTGAATGTAGGTGCTGAGGTTGTGTAAACCTTACAAAAGCAAGGAGTACATAATGAAAACTAATTAGAAAAGTTGTGGCTTGAGATACAGATCAAGTTATGGCAGTATCCTAAAAGATAGCTTAAGATATAAACTTGGTAATGGCAGCACAACAAGTACTAGTTAGAAAGAAATTACCAAATATACAAGTAAAAACATGTGTGAGACATGGACTACTCTGTTAGGTTTACCTCATAGATAGATTAGCCAGAAATGGTTAGTAAGTCCTAAGGTGAGTGCAAAATCTATAGATGTTACAAAACCTATGTATTAATAGTGAGTTACATCTTGGTTAGAATTAGAAATAGATAGCAGTTGTAACTAGAAGGTTTAAATAAGTATCTTCTGTAGTTGAGGTGTAGATATGGTAGCTAGTGTAAAACCTAAAGCAGACTACTCAAATAGGCAACCAAAAGTTGCAGATATGGCTAGTCATACTTTCGTTAGTAAATAACCAAAGAGCTTAAATAGGTAATCTTCTAGTTAAATTGCAGGTATAGCAGCTAGTGTAGAATCTAGGTGGTCTACTTAAATTAGGTATCAAAAGTACATATGTGGCTTAATATACTCTCGTTGTAATTGTAATCTAAAGTTAATAATCTAATAAAAAGTTCCCGGCCATAGAGGTCACTTTAATATTCAAAAAAAAAAAAAATCAATATTGTATAACTAATATAGTATCATATGATTTATATATAAACAATATATAATTTGACTAATTATAATTAGTAATCTTTTATATAATTAGAAAAAAATATATAGTATCTAGAGAAATTTTTAGTTATATATAAAGTTAATTTTTTTTAAAACAATTTGTATTATACAACTTTATTATTACTTGTTAACTAAGAAAATAAAAAAATTAAGCCATTTAGATCAAGTTTTTTTTTATTGTAATTTGCTCTAAGGATTAAGGATTGGCAATAATGGTGATGATTTTTATTATAAACAAACTATTTTAAACTATATATTGTATATATAAATTTAATACAAATTAGTTAAGATATTAAAAAGTTTTATTAGAAGTACTTTTTTGTTTACTATATAAATCATATGAAAATTGATCTATGTATACTTTACCCTTAAAGGCTAATTTAAAATAAACAGAAAATAATATTGATTATAAAGTTAGTCTATTTTTTATAATTTTTACTATTTGTTTATAAATAATATATATTATTTTACTAAAATAAATAGTTAGGTCTATTGATAGTTTTAATTATTTATTTTTTTTTTTTTTGGTATTAAGGTGACCTCTTTGGTCTGGGAAACTTTTTATTAGAGTATAGATGAAGTTTTATATGTAATTACAACGATGGTACATCAAGCCACACGTGCACCTTTTGAGTGCCTATTTAAGTAGTCCGCCCGAAGGTTCTACACTATCTGCCGTACCTGTACCCCAACTAGGGGGTACCCATTTAAACCATCTGGTTCTAACTACCTCCATCAGCCCTCTAACCCAATGGGTTTCCTCACTATTCATACGCTAGATTTTGGTATCACCCAATGTGGATTTCGCACCCTACCTTAGGACACTTAACTATCCTCGAGGTAAAGATAGTTTTAATTATTTATTTTGATAAAATAATATATATTACTTATAAACAAATAGTAAAAATTATAAAAAATAGACTAATTTCATAATTAAGATTATTTTCTATTTTATTCTAAACTAGAATTAATACTTTAATTTAGATATATTTTTTATATCCAGATTAATCTAGTTTTATTATAGTATAAATCTAAATTTAAATTTATATCTAGATTTATTTATATTTAGATTTAAAAACATTATATTATATTATATTATATAATATAGTATATATTCGGATATATAAATCTAGATAAAGATATTAACTCTATTCTAAACCACTTTTTAAATTTTATACAAAGAACTTTTAAATACTAAAAAAATTGCAAATAATATCTATAATTAAGTTGCCAAATTTTTATTATTAAATTAACCCAAAAAGCAAATTTTTTTTAAATTTTATATATAAAATTTAGATGTATCAATCATTTAACTTTATATTGTATATAATTTGTATAATATATTATATAACTAATAGAGATAATAATCTATTAGAATTGCATTAGTCCAGTCTAGTCTAGTTTTTAGTAGAACTGATTACATAGTGGTAATAGTTTAGTCTGGTCCGGTTTTTCAGTTTTTGAAATAGTTCTTTGTAATACAAGATGTGA